CCCCCCCCCCCCCCAAGTTCCTCATCGCTCCCTCCTCCCCGGTCCTTCGAGGGCTATAACAATGAATCTAGTGAAAAGCAGTTTGCGTAACAAGGACATGCCGATTTCTATTGGTTCGATCCGAAAAGAAAAGAAAATAAAAAGAACAATTTCCGGTCTGCCAGCTTTTTTGGGTAAGGGTAGGGGTCGGCTTCACTCCACTCTCCTCCACTCCATTCCACTCCACATCACTCTACTCCACTCCTCTCCACTCTACTCCACTCCACTCTCTTCCAATCCACTTTTTTATGTACTCTACTGTACAATACTATATGTTGCGATACTCTTATCTACTCACTCTACTTTACTGTACTCCACTTCACTCCACTCCACTGTTCTCTACTCTACTCCCCTCCCCTCCACTGTACTTTCTCTACTCTACTTTAGTGCACCCGACCCTACTAGGCTCTACTGGACTCTACTCAGTCTACTGGACTCGACTCTACTGTACTCTATTTTACACTACACTACGCTACTCTACTTTGTTTTACTCTTCCCTACTCTGATCTATTGTACTCTATTCATCTCTACATATCCTGTACTTTATGATACAAGACTCTTATTTACTCACTCTACTCTACTCTACTCTACTCTGTTCTACTCTACTCTTTCCTACTTTACTCTACTCGATTCTATTCTATTTTATTTTAACCCACTCTACTCTACTTTGCTTTACTCTTCCTCACTCTACTCTACTGATTTCTACTTTATTGTACTTTGGCCTTCTCTTCTGTACTGTACTGTATTGTACTATATGCTGCAATACTGTTATCTACTCATTCTACTCTGCTTCACTTCACTCCACTCCACTCCTCTTCTCTACTCTATTCTACTTCACTCCCAGCCACTTTACTCGACTGTAGAATACTTTATACTTTACTTTTTTCTACTCTTCTCTTCCCTAAGTTTCTCTTCTCTACTCTTCTCTACTCTACGCTTCCCTATTCTACTCTACTTCGTTTTGCTCCACTCAACTCTACTCTACGCTTCAATACTCCACTCCACTCGACTTTACTCCACTGTATCCACCTTACTCCAGTCCACTCTACTCTACTCTCCTCCCCTCTCCTCTACTCTACTCTACTCTACTCTACTCTACTCTACTCTACTCTACTCTACTCTCTACTCTACTCCACTCCACTCGAGTCTACTTTGCTCTACTCTATACTACTATACTCAACTCTACTCTACTTTGCTTTACTTTACTCTACTTTGCTTTACTATACTCTGCTTTGCTCTACTCCATTGTACTCTAAACTGCTCTGCTCTATTTGAGTCAGTTTGAGCCCGTTTTGAGTGTCGTCTTAGTTTCTTTTAGCGTATAGGTCCATTCAAGGTACACCACTCTTCTCTACTCTACTCCACTCCACTCGACTTGACACGACTCGACTCTATTGTACTCTATGGTACACGACGGTAAGTTATACTACTCTACTCTACTCTACTTGACTTTACTCTACTCGATTTTTTTGTACTTTACTCTACTTTAGTATACTTTTATAGTATTTTACTCTACTTTATTTTACTCTACTCTACTCTTTTGTACTCTACTGTACTTTATTATATGGTGTGATACTCTTATCTACTCACTTTACTCCACTGCATTCCACTCCACTTCACTCAAGTTCACTCCACTCCACTCCACTCCACTCTTTTGTACTCTACTCCACTCCCCTCTATTCTACTTTTCTCTACTCCACTCTTCTACACTCGACTCTACTCGACTCTACTCGATTCTATTTGACTCGACTTTACTCTACTCTACTCTACGCTACTCTACTCTACTTTGCTTTACTCTTCCCTACTCTACTCTACTGTACTAATCTCTACTCTATGCCACTCTCTCTACTGTACTCTACTCGATTCTACTCTAACCTACTAAACTCTCCTTTAGGATACTCTACTCTACGCTACTCTACTTTACTCTATGATATTTTACGCTTCCCTACTCTCCACGGTTCTACTATCTTCTACTATTTTCTTCCCTACTTAACTCTACTCTGCTCTACTTTACTCTACAATACTCTACGCTTCCCTACTCTTCTCGACTCTACTTTTTCCTACTCTTATCTTCCCTAGGTTTCTCTTCTCTACTCTTCTATACTATATGTTTCCCTGCTCCGCGCCACTGTACTCTACTCTACGCTTCCCTACTCCACACACTTTACTCTACTCCACTCGACTCCACTCTACTCTACTCTACTCTCCTGACTTGGCTCTACTCCACTCCCTTCTATTTCACTCCACTTTACTCCACTCCACTCTACTCCACTCCAATCTACTCGACTTGACTCTACACTACTCTACTTTATACTCCCACACTCTACACTTCCCTGCTCCTCTCTACTCTACTCTTCTCTACTCTTCTCTTCCATACACTTCTCTTCCTTACTCTTCTCTTCCTTACTCTTCTCTTAGTCTCTACTGAACGCTTCTTTACTCTACATTTATCGTCTCTTCTCTTTCCTACTCTTCTCTTCTCTACTCTTCTCTACTATACGCTTCCTTACTCTACGCTTTCGTGCTTTGCCCTACGCTGTTCTCCTCTTCTCTGCTATGCTCTGCTCTACACTATTACACTCCGCTTTCCTCTAATCTTCTCTGCTCTACTCTACACTCCTTCACACTGCTCTTCTCTACTTCCACTCTGCCTTACTCTAATCCATTCTGCTCTACTCTATTTCACTCGTCTCTACTCCATTCGCCTACACTCTCCTCCACTCCACTCCAGTTCACTTTACTCTACCACACTCCACTCTACTGCACTCTACTCCACTCTACTCTACTTTACTCCGCTCTTCGCCACTCCACATTGTCCACAATACTCTACTTCATTCCACTTACTCCACTCCACTCCACTTAGTTACTCTAGTCTACTCTATTCTACTCTACTCTACTCTATTCTCCTCGACTCTAATCTATTCTCCTCGACTCTATGTTTCCCTACTCTTCTCTACTCTACTCTTTACAACTCTCCTCTTCTCTACTCTTATCTTCTTTACGCTTCTCCACTCCACACTTCCCTGCTCTTCACTTCTCTGTTTTGCTGTACTCCTCTTCTCTTCTCTACCCTGCTCTACCCTACTCTCCTCTGCTCTGCCCTACTTTGCTATGATTTTCTCTACTATAATATGTGTTGCCCTTCATCATAGTGCGCTCAGTTGCTGACTTAGATGGAACGAAAAATCTTCATATTGATTTTTTTTCTTTGTATGTCAATGATGGTGACCGTCTAGACGTCCGGACCGGGTTCTAGACAGTCTGGTGTCCAACGTTCGGTGTTCGGTGTCCGGTCCTTATGTTCGGATGGAGGCCCCTGAGGCAAAAAGAAAAAAAAAAAAACAGGGCGGCCCAAGACGTTTATCAAGTCCTGGCCGCCCCTTGAAAAATAATAAGGTGATTTTTCAGTGCCGGTTCACTAACCGGACATGGCCTAGAGGTTCGGACACAAGACACTGCAGGTTTTTGGGGTAGTGGGTTTCACATAGGCCCGAGCAATTTCAAAGCGTCGTTTCGATGTGGTGCCCGCCGCTGCTACCCGTTGGAGAGAGACAGAGAGCGCGCGGCGCGCACGAGAGAGAGAGAGAGAGAGAGATTTAAGAAGATTTAAGAAGAAGAAGAAGAAGAAGAAGAAGAAGAAGGGGCGTACATGAGAAGGAGGCCGAAAAGAATGAGAAGAAACATAAGAGACTGCACCCGTCACTTTCAAAAAAACTCGACTTCTTTGCATCCAAAATATTC